ACTGCAGAAAGGATAGAACTAAACAGTTTTTGCATAGAATTCACCTTCTAAGTGCTAAGGAGAACATAAATAGGTAGATAAGAAACACAGATTTCATGTCTGCCAGTCAGAGGCCAACTGTTGGAAGATGTTTAGAAGAAAGCTTTCCTTTTGGGCAGAGTATTCTTGGAAATTAATTCCACACATCCTCTACTTAAGTAGCTGCCATGTTGTGCCTTCACAGGAACCTGATTATATACTGCCTTGGAGATACTATTATTTACATCTATGTAAAAACCATGATGAAATTTGTAGCATTTTGCTCTCACTTTAGTCAATGGCAAGGGTTCTCACCAGTTACAGAGAATCAAGTCTTGGATCTCAAATTAGAAGCACTCAAGGCTTGATTTAATGTGACAACTTCATCTTTATAAGTGAAAATACAAAGTCAAACCTGAAAAATAGACTAATAGTGTACTATTAGTGCTTATTTGACCCACTAGCAAACATCTATATGGTAGGCAGAATCAAAGTATCACAGGATCATTATGGTTGGAAGGGGCCTTTGGAGATCCTCTAGTCCAACCCCTACAGCGAAGGCAGGGACACCGAGAGCTGGTTACACAGGAACGTGTCCAGGCAGGTTTTGAGTGTCGCCAGAGAGGGAGACTCCATGACCTCCCTGGGCAGCCTATTCCAGTGCTCTGCCACCCTAAATGTACAGAAGTTCTTCCTCATGTTGGGGTGAAACTTCTTGTGTTTCAGTTTAGGGCCATCACTCTGTGTGCTGTCATTGGGCACCACTGAAAAGAGTCTGGCACCATCCTCCTGGCCCCACACCTGTAGGGGAGCAGTGATAGGCAGAGCTGAGAAATGTTTGCATATTCATATCTATGCTTTCATGGGAACTGTGGAAATTGTAAGTCTGAAAAGAAGAGGTTGAAAATCTTCATCTAAATATTTTTTGTAATTCTTTGGCCTTAGAAAGCTGCCAAGTTCACTGAATGCTATAAATTCCACTAAAGTATTTAAGTTACTGCATTTTAAAGAGGTGATAAAAAATAACTTACTTCTGAAAGTATATTTCTTTCTTGGAGTCAAAAAAAAGCTGGTTCCCTCATTAAATCATAGATTGCTAATTTGTTTTGTCTTTCTCACTGGATATGTTAAATGTCACAGTCATTTTTCTTGGATCTCTAAGGAAGTGTCAAAAAATTTTACAGAATTTTTTTGCTGTTGTTTCTTAACTTTGTAGAAAGCTTCTAATTCAGGGATACTCAGCTTGAATTTAAACTCAGTTTGCCCAGTAGCCATTTCACTTTTAAGCCAGATTTCCACATACTGGATGGAAGGCATATGTTTAATCTTTTTTGCTAGTACTGTGCCTAGATTTATGTAGATGAATTCTAAATGATAAATGTTAAATTTTATAGATTAAAAGATTGCCCTTTGTGCTGTTATTTCTTTTATGCAATGGACTGCCTAAATTTTTTTTTTTTTTTCTCTTTTTTTTTTTTCTCTTTCCCTCTTCTCATTAAAATACATTCATGTATTTTTCATTATTAACAGCAGTGAAAATAGACTTGATTTCATCTCCGGGTCTCTCACAGAGTAATTTATCTGAGCAGCACTGCATGTTATCCTTCCTGATACTTGCAATTTCTTTCATAACAGAATCAAACTAAACTCCTTGACCATTATTGCTGCATTGTATTTCACTCCTTAGTTAGGTGGAATACCTTGTCATTCTAGATATTTAGATGTAATTAAAGCTTCTATTTTGTCATGGAGATATAATTCATTTTGTGGGACTATTTTCAGGATTGCTCCTAAGCAAGTAAAGTCAAACTTTATGAAATGAATGTACTATCATTATTTAAGTTTGTAAAACATTCAGAAGGTATTTGGGACATAACTACAGGAGAATGAATTGTTAAAAAAAAAATCAAGGAGTGAATTTAGAACTAATCTATCTCTACCAGTTTCTATAAATGTAATAATTACTCATAATGCACAGTCTTGATTGAATGTATTTTATGTATGTAGCCAGGAAAAAATATCAATGACTGTAAATACAAATATTAACTCAACAATTGATCTAAGTTTTAAATTCGTCTCAAGCTATTATATTGAACTTCATCAGCTGTGGCATTTTTCTGTTACATATTTCTATGTTTATACACACTAGGATTTCACTAATCATATTGCATCCTGTCTGCCTGCAAAGTTAGCTAAGCAGTTCCTTTAAAACAAATACAGTTTAGTGTTCGGATTTTGCTTAGGCCAAATGAAAAAAAAAAAAAAAAACCAAAAAGGAGAAGAAACTTCTTGTTACTTGTTCATGCAATAACTTTCCTGTCCACAGCTGCATTTGTAACCTAGCTGAGAAGAAGAATTTATTGCTGATAGTATTAAAATCCAGTACAGATAATCAGTTGGTTGGAGTTAGAGAGATATGGTGTAGCTGATTCATTGGGAACATGTGACTTCTAGGAGACAGTGATATAACCAAAAGCAGATTGGCTTCCTAGTACTCACTAAGAGAAACTGGTTTTGGTTGTAAAGATGAGAATTCTACAGAAGATGAATTTTTAGCTGGACATCTGAGGGTTTTTTTTCCCAAATGTCTAGTTGTGAAAAGTCTTCACAGGTTTATTTTAAATTCTGTACTTTAACTTCTTGCAGTCATGGCTTATCTACAAAGAGTACGTAAAATAGACTTGGGTTAGTAAGACTAGCTCAGCAACATTCATATCCATGGATAAGGAGATAATCCCTACTCTGTGAGGTGATAAATTAGTTGATAATTCACTGACTGGAAATTCTAGGAATCAAGAATGACCAGTAGGAAAGACTTTTGAGAAATTAAATGTTACAATTTATACATATGGAATAGCAGCTAGTTTGGTTTCTTTCTTTAATTTCTTGCTTTTTTGTGTTTTTTTTTTTTTTAATGGAAGCTCAAGGGAAGAGAAGGAAACTAACTGGGAAAGACATACAATATAGAAAACTGGCATAGTTTAGCCAACTCCACTGAAAGCAGTTTGCTTTCATGTGTGATTGCTGTTGTATTAATCCCACTCTGAAGCTATGTTCTAACATGGCTTAGTGTTCAAGGTTTGTCTACAAACACGTAGGAACATCTACGTTTGTGCTCACTGTTGATATAGAGCAGGTCACCATAATTTTTCCTTTTTGTGTTTTCTATTCTGATTAGGCCGTGGAGGTTATATAACTAGTGGGACCTATCTTACTGTGCATCTGCTATAGTGACAGTGATGCCTCTAACATTGCTTGTGTAGATACAGCCAAAATGAAGAGAGAGTTAAGGAATGGGGCCCTTAAAACACCCTAAAAGGTAACTAGTAAATATTTGACTAGGGCAAATACTTGTCTGGGAGGAAAAACAATGGTCTTTGAGTAAAGTAATCTGGTGTAAGATTGCTATGTAGTCATAGGAAAGATTCTTCCACTATACTTTAAAAAGCTAGAATTCTTAATGATGTCTTCTTGTGCAAACTAGTTTTGAGGTAACTTGCATCAACATTTGTAAAAGCTTCAACACAGTTTTAGGCTGATGCTCAAACCAGGAACTCAGTGGCTTTTAGTAGAATTTTCTTCCTAAAGTGAAACTCGCATTTTCAGCACAAAGCTATATAAGTAAAATCCCAATTATTGGGTCAATATCACAAAGTGCCAGGGCTCAGACCATCTGGGACACATCTAAATTTAAGATAAACTGAAGGAAATGGTTGCAGAAATCACAGTAAAGTCAATTAGCACATCTGTGCTTCCTTATTGTCAAATGTCTTTGCCAGATCCTCCATATTCATGTTCCATCTGTCTTTGTAGACCTGACTTCTTTCTGTTCTTCTCTCTTACTTTTTTTATTTTATTTTATTTTTTTTTTTAAATCTGATACCTAACAGGTACATTGGAAATATATGTTGCCACACGTACTTGCAGTCTTACTTGTGTCTCTGCCATCCTGCATAGTTGATTTTTTCTCTCTTGGCCTTGCCAACTTTTCACACATTGCACTAATTTTCTCCCCCTCTAATTATTAGCTAGTTTAATAGGCTAACCACACCATACAATTACGTAGTTTTGTATAATAGGTTTCACGTATTCTTCATCTCTATTAACAGATTTGACTTACCAGATTTTATGACATTTTATACAAAAGAAAGTAGCCTGCTGCAGAGCCGTTTCCCATGAATATATCTATATATGAAGAAGGCACCACTAAAGCCCCCATTCCTTCAGAAAGCCTCTGAATTAACTGAAATCCTTACTAGAAAAATGTTGAGGAAAAGGCACAAAAGGGATATCCCATTATATCATCTCCATTCTGCTCCTTCTGCAGGCTACATTGTCATATTTTCATAAATTTAAAAAGAGTTGTCTAGAAACTAGTTCTTCTTTCAGGATTCTTCTGTCATCCTCCAATAATGTTGGAGGATTAATACAACAACTGCTAATATACTGATCATTTCTAAAGACAAATGTTGGGAGTTGTCCTGGGTTCAGCAGTAGCAGTCATTTTTCAGGCTCTTTCCCCTGTTAATCTAGCTGTGTTAATATAGCTGTGTTAATCTAGCTGTGTATTTTTTACATACAGAAATAAACTATAAAATCATACTTCCAGCACCATATTTCCAGCGTTTCTACCATTTCTTTTCAGTCTTGCACTTACTGCATTGCACAGAACACTGCCTTTCCCTAAGCAGATCTTGAATGGGGAAGTTAATTCAATAAAGGAAATAAATGTAAGGGAATATTGGTTTCATATAAATTGAAATATGCTGGATCAAATCTGAAAATTAACCTTTGCATTTTATTTTATAAGTGTCTGGTTTCTGACACTGTCTGTATCTTATGCATTCTATGCATGCTTTTGGGTATAATAACAATGAAAGCAGGATGTTTCTGCAAAGTCAAAATTGCTAGCTAACAACAGTTGTTGCTTAAAGTGTTTCTCCGTTCCAATTCTGACAAACTGTTTTCTTCTGTCCCTACAGTTTTCCAGTTGTCCCACAGAGTCACTCGGGTGGTTCCAGAGAGTGCTCTTCTGATTGTTCTTGGTCTCTTCCTTGGTGGCATTGTATGGGCAGCAGATCACATTGCCTCCTTTGCCCTTACACCAACTGTATTTTTCTTCTATCTGCTGCCCCCCATTGTTTTGGATGCTGGATATTTTATGCCAAATAGACTGTTTTTTGGAAATCTTGGTTCTATCCTTCTGTATGCTGTCATTGGGACAGTCTGGAATGCTGCCACAACCGGTTTATCACTCTATGGCGTCTATCAGACAGGAATAATGGGTAAGTTTGATCTGCAAAGGCACAACTGCGAATGCTACTGTATGTCAGATGTTAGATGGGTGATACTTTACAACTTAACAACTCCTTTCAGCAGGAAAAAAACAAACCAAACCAAACAATTGCAATGGGAGCAATCTGTAATATTTTTTTTTACCAGATTTAAGAACGATCTGAGAAATCTTCTCTGAAGCAAACACAAAGGAGACACGAAACTGTGTCTCTTATATTTCCCTGCTGTAAATGTGTGCATACATTCTCAGGATAAAGTTCAGGATTCATCCCACTAATGGATATCTGGACAAAAATACACTCTGCATAGCTTGTTTTTTCTGCTGTGATAGAAACCTTCAAAGTTACTGTGAAATGAAACTGTCATCCTTCAATCAGCTTTAATATTAAGCAAGTAATGGTTGTTGAGTGAGTCTGTATACATGACATCTCTATTTTGTGTTCTGAGGCTGAAAATTGTAACTGAAGACTTACAGAGCCAAATAGCACACGTAAGACACATATAAGAGTATTGGGCTGCTAGAAGAGGCACAGAACAGCAATTTTTAATCTCCTCAGCAGCTGTGGCATGCACATCTGCTGTGCGCTACCACCTGAAGAACAGTGATTCGCACTGTATGTGAATTGCATGTGTTTTGAAACAGGCATCCTACCTATGCTTTTTACTGTCTGTAGTGAAGAGCCCTTCTAGGACAAAATTCTGTTAGACTATTGAGTTCAAGAAAGTACTTACAGGGTACATCTGAGTGCTGCTGGGAGCAATATAGATTTAGTGTGCTGCTGTGCCTGTGCACTCTGCCCATCTGTTCTTGGCAACCAGTGCTGAGATCCTGGACTCTCTGTGTGGCTCCAAGACCGTGAAGGCTATGTTGTGTTGTATTAAAAGCTCAACAGTGAGTCATGGGGCTGTTCTCTAAGCACAATGGTTCAAAATCGACTCAAAGCAATTTACCACAGACTTCCTTTTAAGTCCAGATAACAGGAGTGCCTCAAATGTCAGAAGCTGCAGAGACATTCTTCTGATGAAGAATTAAACTATTAACCAATTATTGCAGCAGATAACATAATAGAGATTTTCAGCCTGAAAGCCGGCTCTCATTATCCAACACAGGGAAGTAGCAAAATTTTGTTGTGGAAGAACTACAAGAAGACCACAGATTTGTTCATATGAGAGTCATTTTGTATAACTGCAGACATTTGTAATACAGACATCTATGACAGATTTAGCTTACATTTTAGGTATTTATCTGTAACACACAACTATAACACATTTTGTAAGCAAGTATTTTTCTTTAGAAGATACAAAGATGACAGCTCAGATGCAGACACTATTGGCTTTTATAGGTAGGTAAGACATTTTATGTGCTTGCAGCCTGTGAACGCAATATATTGCATCCGCAATTTCACAGTTAAATACAGGTTTTCAGGAACAAAAAAGATGACAAATGGATACTACTATTGCAACACATTGACAGGTAGGACAAGGATTTCTTTCTTCAAATATCCAAGCTGTTTGGAACAATTTAAAAGATACAACCAAAATTTTTTATTAACATCCTGTTCTGGGAAATATAATGAGTGACAACTACTTTTAAAATATGTTTATAAAAACATTAAAGGACAAGCATTGACCTCTTTATGACATGTGAAATGGAAAGTATTTTCCCCCCCAAAAATGATTTTAAATAAAAACTCCATTTATCTCTTACTCTCCTCCCAATCCATATGCAATTCTCAACTAACTGTAAAAGCTGGATTAAATGACTACATGTTTTTCATCATTATGCAACTGTTTCAGTGTTGGTACATACTAGAACTGTGAGCTTACAGTTAAACAGGAGAATCAGCCCTTACCACAGGTCACAGCTAAAGCCCAATAAGCTAAAACTAGGGATGTTAACAAAAGCAAACAATAAACTGACTTGCCTGGTGAATTTAAATGTTTAGAATGAACATTAATTGATATACTGTGGGGACCTGTCTTTACCACAAAGGCATATTATAATCTGTTAGAGTTCTAATTTCAGATATGGAAAAGGCCAGACAAGCCTGTCCCTGATTCAAACTATGTCACTCTCCAGCAAAGCTAAGTAGGACTTTAAAATACCTTCTTGGCACATACTTACTAATCCACTAAATACATTGTGTTGGCCTCCAAGATACCAGCAAGTTCTGAGTACCACGCTTAGTGAAAAGCCTTCCTGTTGTTACTTATTTGCTGAAGTTAGGAGAATGCTGAGTTAATTTCTAGAAGAGTTCATAGCAGCCTCTGGTTAAAGTTCTATGGCGTATTTTTGTTTCTACCACACTTTTTCTAAGATTGGATTGAATGCTAAATGTAGTATCATTGAAATGTAGGAATGTATATCCACTACAAAAATTGACTAAAACCAAATTACTTCCATTGAAGTAATGGTCCACTAACCATTGAATGGGCCTGTAGTATTGTCCATCAATATGAGATTGAACGATCCAAACTGGATTACTACATAAACATGAAAGTAGCTTTGTTCACATTCAGTATCCTTATAGATATTACAATTTGCAGAAGAAAAAGAGAGGTGGTAATAACAAGGAAATCCTTTCATAAGAAATTAACTTAAAAAATCAGCGCCTTAACTATACCCATACCAGAGCCATACTAGTCTCTTTTCACAGCAGCAGAAGTACCTAATCCAAAATCTTCCTGGATGATTGCATCTAAGTGTTAACCATCTGCCGAAGAACACATGCAGTGCTTATCTGTGGAATAACTCTGGTTGTGATTAATATTTAGAAAGTTTTTTTCCTGTACAATTTAGGTCACAGCAACAACACGCTGAGTACGTGCGGAAGTCTTAAAATGGGCCCAGTGAATTTACCTCACTCAGGTGTCATTGGGGGCACCTAGTCAATCCAGACTCCGGACTCTCGAGCTGGAAGAAGCAGTGGTCATGTATCACTTGGAAATGACTTGCATTATTAGTCTAAATAGAAGCCTGATTTAGAAACCCCATGCCTCTCAACACTGCTTTGTAGGAATTATTGTGGTGTCCTAACCTTTCCATAAATATTTGCTCACTAGCTTTGCAAGTCTTCAAAGAATGTACCAATGATCATAATCACTAACATATAAAAAAAGATAAGCAATCTCAGTGAGCCAGTTTATTCTAAAAGCTTACATCCTATTGTACCCTGATATCAGATAGTTATCGTCAATGGGTTTGTTTCTTCCTTAAGCATGGCAGAGAAGGACATTTGATGGAACCATTACTTAGATTCAGGTTCAAGGCTGTTCTCAGAATTTTTGGCACATACTTCAGCTCACTGCTTCAACAATTCTCACACTAAAATGGATAGATTCAGTCCTCATTCACAGCCTAATATGTCCAAGAGTGTAAAATATTATTACTCTTTTTGAAAATATAAAGCAGTTAAGTGTCTGTGCAAACTATGAATTTTTGATTTTAAGGCCTTACCAAGGTCCCTATAAACCTGTATATATGGAAAACTGTAGACATTCTGATTGGCAGACAGCAGCTTATACAATATGTACTTCTGCAGCTGCCCCAGATTTTTGGCCATTGTTGTTTTCTACTCCTGTCTCTGGCTGGCCATGTAAGTGTCCTTCTGTAGAGTAAATATGCCCATATTGTTTGTATCAAAGCTATTTGGAATATTCAATTACCTTTCAAGCACTGAACATTCTGGATTTGAAAAATTATTTCATAAGAGTTCTTGCTGGAGGAGTGGCCATGTCGTTCTGGAAGTACCTTACAGGAAGTATTGATCCTTTTGCTATAGCTACTGATTGTCATTGTCTAACTTATGCTTCTAAATCACTAAATCAGATGGATTTCTCCCTCACCTTTAGAAATCACGCCTGATACAATTGCCTATTAACTTTGGGCATGGGCCTCTGCACTGTGTTCTAGTGAATGAACTCTCAACATATTCATTCTTTGCTCCTCAAATACTTTTGGGCTTGAGCATCTCTTAATAACCCTCCATCCATTACATTAATGAACACAAAAGAGATGTTCTTGTTCTCTATGCTTTAAAAAATCAGTTCCCTAGAATTGATATTGGGATAGCACTACTGATTGCATGAAGAGGGTCAATTTAGCAAGATGTCTAGGAAGGTAAGTAAAGCAATCTTTGTGGCTCTTCCTTTTCTGTCACTTTTAAAAGAAAGTTAATGCTTGTTTCAGTCTTCACATAACTAACCAAAATAACCTTAATAACTAAAAGAAGACACACAAAAAAATAAATACTCTGCTACTTTATCAACAGAGTTTTGTAGTTCCAAAACCTTTGGAATCATTGCTGAAATTTCTAAGGGGCTACAACACAAACATGTTGGGGTTCATTTACTCCTTTATCTAAAGGACTTGCAGAGAGTGGCCTCATGAATCATAATTTGGGAACAACTGGCTTAACTGCACCTGTCAATGCATGTCTCCTTGAATAAGGAGGCCACAATGGTTTTTAACTGCACTGAATGCAGTTAAGCAACACTGTACAACTCTTACCAACCAAGAGTTGAATTTGGCCTGTGGCATGAAGTATTTTGGAACATTTACTTCAGGAGTACTGATATATTCATCTTACCATCTTGTCATTTCTCAATTATCCTAAGATAATTTACTTATAGATAAACCAAATCCACAAAAACACAAAGCCAGTTTGGATCTGGAAATACTTATCTCAAGTGCCTTGCCGGAAGAACAGGATTGTACTGTTCTCAGAATCAACTTTGATCCACATGGGCCAGTTCTGGATCCAAAAAACCTTGTAGGCGACACGTTGCAGAACTTAAGTAGTTTCTGTGTCATGCTTTCTAGTCAATGCCTTAGGATCCTTATTTTCAAGGATTTTGCATTATTTGTAATATCACAGTATGTCATTACTATAGATAGCACAGAGCTAACTCTGCTTATACTTGGCTTTGTTTTTGAAGGCCACCTGAATACTGGACTGCTGGACTTCCTTCTGTTTGGCAGCTTAATTGCCGCTGTGGATCCTGTAGCTGTTCTGGCAGTGTTTGAAGAAGTCCATGTCAATGAAGTTCTATTCATCATTGTTTTTGGAGAATCACTTCTGAATGATGCTGTAACTGTGGTAAATACATTATATATCACGAAGTCATCTGAATTCTAGAAGGTTTCTTCTAAAGTTTATTTTCACCTTAAATGAAACACCGTATCACCTGTGTGCATCTACTCATGGGCTAGTGGACAGTAGCTGATGATTTTCTCTGTCTTGCTTACAAACACTGTATTGCAAAGATTAAATGTTTGAGCATGAAAGCTAGTTGGAGCCCATAGGTCACATAAAAATACACAGTCCTGGGTTGGAAGAGCATGAAAAACATTTAAAATGAAGTTTCAGGTGTATATGTTTCATTTGGCTTTCATGACATACTGAAATTAGTTCCAGGGATTTTGAGCCTTTCTTTGCTGTTGATTTTAATGCAGATAATCTTTTCTGTGTATTTCTGTTATGTTCATAATTTGTATGCATACCTCAGATATATAAACAGAGAGGGAATACTCTCCAAAGTGCTTATGCTTGTTCCCACTCTTTTAATTCAATCAGAAGTTTATCAAACAGATATACAACAAAGAACCAATTCCAGAGAAAATATGGGACATTTTAGAAAGTTTCTGATTAAGAGAATTATTATATCTTATTATCTTATATATTTTACAAAGGTGATTGATTAAATCTGCTAAATAACTGGATTTTAGAATGAGAAGTGGTTTAGAAAACCCATCTAGATCTAACAACGCTTCTTATAGATGGAATAATATTGAATTAAGAAATGGGAAGTTGTGGGGGTTTGAAATTTGTTTCTTCTTGTATCACTGCTTTTTTTTCTATTTTGAAAAATTGAAAAAATCTCCAAAATCTTTGCTCTCCACACAGAATTTCCCTCTGTCACACATCAATTCAGAATTCAAAATGTTGGAACCCATAATGACAATATTGAAATACAGTTAATTCAGGAGCAAATATTAAGTTAGCCTACTTTTCTTTTCAGGTGCTGTACAATGTGTTCGAATCTTTTGTTACAATAGGTCCGGAGAATGTGACGGGGACTGAATGTGTGAAAGGCATAGGTGCGTAGAATTGAATTCCGTGTCAAATCATTGATGTACACATGCAGCGTTTTACACAAAATGTTATTACTGTACCATCAGTAAATGTTATTTTTCATCCCTTTCCCTTGTCACTCATATTCCCACATTCCTGCGGCATAGGTGAATGCCCTAAGAAAATAAATGAGTATTCCTGAATATTTGGGAACTTAATTAGATATTTTTTTCTGAGGAGGCTCAAAAGATGTGGAGGTCACTTGTTAAGAACACCAAACTTGACGGCTGTACATATTTTCTTTCTATTTTATAATATGTTCTTAGTTTCAACCTATGCTCTCATTCCATGCCTGGAGAATTGAGATTGCATTTGGGCATTCTCACTCCTTATCAGTGATTGGCATCAAGCAATGTTTGCCAGTGACTATAAAATATTTGCTCACTATTTCTCATTCCAAGCATGACGCGATACTACATGATCTTATGAATCAATGTTTTATCAACGACTATGGCATATTCTATAACATGCTTTTGGAAAAGCATTTGTTTACAGAACATGGGGAAAAAAAAATGTTCAAAGGAATGTAGTGAGTTTTGGATGAGCCTGAAGTGGTAAGGCTTAACAGAAATTAACCTTGTTTTTATTACAGAATCTTCATTCACATACAAAGTGCTATAAGGCAATTCCTTTTAGAAATAATTGGTGTGTCCTCCAAAATTTTCTCTGATGTGCTAACCATAAAATAGAACTAGTTCAAACTGTTATATTTCTACCTGTTTAACCTGTGTTTGGTTTTGCTTTTCAGTGTCATTCTTTGTGGTGAGCCTGGGTGGTACACTGGTTGGCATTTTCTTTGCATTCCTGCTCTCCTTGGTCAGTCGTTTCACCAAGCATGTGAGAATCATTGAACCTGGATTTGTGTTTATCATTTCCTACCTGTCCTACCTCACAGCAGAGATGCTTTCTCTTTCTGCTATCCTCGCGTAAGTCTCTTTTAATTACTGCTTGTGAAGGGGTTGGGAAGAGAGAATCATTTTTAAAAGCACTGAAAAGGAAGACCTAAATTATATAGGACTGCTATTGAATATGGAACTCATGAATATTATGCTGGATATTACTATCTTCACGCTGCAGTAGATCGTAGTTTGTAAATATTGTCATTTAGGATTGAAAAGGAATGCAAGTTTTCCAGTATCTGCTATGCAACATGAGAGCTTCCTGTGCAAAATACAGAATAGACCCATTCCTTTTTGACATTAATAATACTTCGATAACTACAAGTTGTCCGTTTGGATTTACATCTTTCCCTATAATTTGTAATTAAACCCATATTTTTCTAAAGCATTATGTGAATGTCCATTATTTGCTGCTCTCAACGCCTTGACTGGCCTGTTAAGGTTTGCTTAAATCTTGCCTGGTTTAGCTTGAGTACTTCTGTGGACTTTCGTCTTTTAGAATCCATTGATTCCCGGCACCTTTCTTCTCAGTTTTGCTTGTCATGTTTGTAGATGCTACAGTGAGTATACTCAAGATCAGAAAATCTTGCTGCAAAAGCAGATCATTAGTTTAAGATAATGTCCAAAGTAAATAAGGTTTAAAATTTTCCATGTAAAACCGTGGTACTCTGAAGAGAATTAAGGTCTGTTATGATGTAGTGAAATGCTGTCTTCACACCTCCTGGCGTCACCTGAGGGTGATTGCTCGAGATACGCGTTTTACCTAGATTAGTCTCAACAGTGGCTCCTTAGGAATTAATGGTAGGGTTTTATCACTATGTGACAGGCAGATAGAAATACTATTGAATGTTGCAACAAATATTTTCTGAACATTTGTTTTTTGTTGTTTTGTTTTGTTTTTTTTTCCCCTAGGATAACTTTCTGTGGCATCTGCTGTCAGAAGTATGTCAAGGCTAACATATCTGAACAGTCTTCTACAACTGTAAGGTATACCATGAAAATGATGGCCAGTGGAGCAGAAACTATTATCTTCATGTTCCTGGGAATTTCAGCTGTAAATCCAGATATCTGGACTTGGAATACAGCTTTTATTCTGTTGACTCTAGTCTTCATCTCAGTATATCGAGTTATTGGTAAGGGGATGATCTTCTTCCTGTTTTGTTGATATAATCACATATTCTTTTGTCAAGAAATGAAAAAAGAAAGGGGTTCTAGACTTTTCCTTTTAAAGTGTTCAGTTTATTGTGGTTGAATTTATGTTTGGTTTTGGGTTAGGAGGATAGATCTCTACAGTAAGCTTTATCATATGCTGAAAATACACTAGAATTTCACTTTTAATGATGCATGAGGATATGACTAGACCATTAGTTAACATCAATCAAGCTGTGGCTGACCATTGTTGACCCAGCACGTTATCTTGGCAAAATCTTCCAGTGAAATGGACTTTGTTCTTTATTAGGCAGCTTAACAAAATATGTGAGTCTGTCAGCCATCTCTTTTCTTCAGCTCTTTCAATTTGGTAATAAAAAGATTGTTTCAAGCTGATTTTAGGGTTAACTTCAGGTTTGAGATACACAGTGATATCAGGTCATACATAATTACACCACAGATTTTTTGACTTTAGAAATAATTAAGAAACAAGAAGCTGTCTTCCTCGTGTATGGTGGGAGCTCTGGGAGACATGAATTCTAGAGCTTTAGGACTCCTACAGTAAGCAGCATCTCACCTGTAGGCCTGAAGACGGTATTACCATAACTATACAACCCTCCATATTACAATACCATCAATGTCATTTTTAGTGATTTGTAAAGAGCACTACGCTGACTCTCTAAACAAACACTGTTTCAACTCTGTTCTCCTTCTGTTAAAAGATGCTGTGCATATCAGCGACTATGGTGCTAGAAATTCTGTTCTTTCTCAACTGTGAATTTCAAAGGCTAGCACGTAACAGAATTTCACCTGTACTGCCTATGCCAGATGGCAGCACTCTCAGAAGTGTTGCTGGCCCACAGAACAAGCTTCATCTAACTCCTTTGGCTGAACGTTGGTACCGAGAGGGCCTGCCCTCCTTGGCAATGTAGCAATGCAGAGGGAGAAGTAGATGGTGTAGAGAGTCTGTTATGAAAGCAGACTGGTGATACTGTTTTTTTTTACACACAGTTGGGTTATTAACATGTCATAAGGCTATTTCTGGACATGCTGGCATTTTTTTCTTATAGGTGTAGTTTTACAGACATGGATTCTTAACCACTACAGAATGGTCCAGTTGGAAATAATAGACCAGGTGGTGATGTCATATGGTGGACTACGTGGAGCAGTTGCTTTTGCTCTGGTTGTACTTCTGGATGTGGAAAAAGTGAAAGAGAAAAATCTGTTTGTCAGCACAACTATCATTGTTGTGTTTTTTACTGTCATTTTCCAGGTAATACAACTTCTTAAGTATGCTTCTTGCAAGGAGAAGGAGTCCCACAAAAGTACTGAATGCTTAAAGCAGTTCTCAGTTGAAGGTTGCGTATTGTTTCACTGAACTGAAAGCATAATTGAATTTGTAATTTTAGTAACAAAGATCCTATTTTATGTTTTCATATGGCACCACAAGGGACAAAACACAATTTCCTCTGTGCTAAAAAATGTTCAGTCTTAGCTGCTTGGTATTAATAGTGCTCAAGTTAATATCTGATTAAACATTCACCTCATATGAATAACTATAGGGAACAGTCCTTTTTATGGGCAAATACAGTCATTAAGCTGATCTACCTGAGCCTAATTCCTTGTTTTTAAATATAACAGTATTTAAATATGAGAGTGGGACAAGAAAGTATTTTGCATCAAAACAAAACAGTACTTCCAGGATGAAAAAAACAACATTAATTTAAATGCAGATATGTCTGACAGGAATTTTTTTCACAAGTTTATTATAGAAAGTTTAATTGTGGTCACAAACTTCTGATATGTGTAGAAAATAACAGTCAATGGTACAGGAAACACTTTAACCCTTCCACTACCATACTTTTCTTATAGAAGATGTATTTTTCCACTGGTTGGTGTCTTTTCAAACCTTTGTAACAGGAGCTGAGGGTACTGAATTATTTTACCTTCTAAAGAGGACAGAGATCAACTGAAGAAATACCACCATATAACATACAAAAAATGCTCTATCTCTCTTTAACAACAACCAGCTGGAGGAAAATCTAAGATCATTCCTATTATTGCTTTTCAATCCTTAGGGACTGACTATCAAGCCTTTGGTACAGTGGCTGAAAGTGAAGAAAACTGAACACAGAGAGCCAAAACTGAATGAGAAACTTCATGGCAGAGTAAGATTTTTAAACAAAACTGTAGGTTCTTCTGGATTTTTATGGAGTGCCCCAAGAAAAAAAGAAAAAAAAAAAAGAAAAAATTCTTTTTGGAAGGGAGGGGAGAATCAAATTTCAAGTGCAAAATCCTTCAAACATTTCAAAATTTTTCTGTAGGTTGTAATTTGGCTTTGGGTTGGGTCCTGTGAAGAGACACTCAACTGAAGGTTCTGGTCTTTCACTTGACAATTCAATGGGGCTGACAGTACTGGCAAAACAGCATGGCTGGAATATGCTTCTTTCTCTTCATCTAAAAGAGAGCAGAGAACTTTCAATTGAAGAACTCTAGGGCAAAGCATGTGGAAGTAAGCTTATATTTCCTTCCCAAGTATTGTTTATTTATGGAAAAGGTATGAAACCAGGCTTTGTAGCTTGCATAATACATAGAATGGTAGTCTGCTGCCCAATACAGATGTTAACTATATAGTGAAATTCCAGATTAATGATAATAGTTCAGTGCGAAGTCTGGGTTTGCCCCCTTTTGTTTAACCTTTTGAAACATTTTGAAACATTTTGAAACATCATCTCTTCCAATTGACTTTCACACAATATAGCAAAGGTTTTATTCAGTAGAAGAAAAAACATCCATTTTCAATACAAATATAGGTTAAAAGATGGAAGACTATAAGACATTTTAAATAGGTTAAAAGATGGAAGACATCTTTCATGGTCTTCTTTAATTAATAATCTTTTCAGATTTACACAGCTATCCTGCATTAAGTATTTTAACATATTCTTGTATGATCTTCTAATCTTGTCTGTTTTCATGCTGGACGTCACCTGAAGTGTATTAACAACATAGTGATGGACAGGGCTTGTTTCTGATTAATTATTTTGCAGTCTACTGAATAAATACATTGTGCTTTTGTTATCCAGCAATTCAAATTTCCATTTCCATTCAAATATCTTACTATCTGAAAATCATGATTCGTTCCCAGTCTCACTGCATTCATGGCATATACCTTTACGTGACGCTTAGTAGTGCAGGCTGAGCAGCAATGTTAATCCTAACACTTTGCAAAGTTGTATGTACTGATTCACCACTTCCTAGAGTATCCTAGCAGATGCTGTCTCAGGAAGCACAGTGCTCCTAAAACTGTATAAACTGCAAACTTCAGAGAGAAGGAAGCACTGTCTGTTCTCAGGGAGGAGGAGGGAGACAACTTGTAATATCATCTTCTCCATTTCCCTGTCAGATATCTCCTGAGGCAATGTTTAATATTATTTTCAGGAAAAATCCATATCATCCATGTTGTGCTAAACCCAGCATGCTGTATATTCTGCAATAAGCGCTCCAATATTCAGAGTGAAATGTAAACAACCATGTATAGAAAAAGACTAAATTCTACCTGCAGTTGCCTTGGCTTGAATCAAGAGCTATAAACTCAGGATTTCTGTCAGCCATCTAATATACTCAGTATGGAATTTTGCCCTAGATATCAAAAGAATGGAGCTTACTTCAACTCTGACAGATGTATGGATTCCTCAAACATCTAAAAAGGAACACTAGGGACTATTTTCAACTGACTTAATCACCAACACAAACAGCGGCTGATGTACTTCATAGGGCAGAAATGGAGATGGCAAAAGGAGTTGATAAAAAGAGTTTTATAATTCAATGTTAAAATGGGGGATCAAGTGCCTTCTGGCTGAAGGTTGTTTAATTACTCTTGTAATTAAAAAAATAGTGAATTCGTAAAGAACTGGTTAGAAAGTTCAGGACCTTTGAAGAAGAGCACACAGTAGTTGGTATTTCAGTAAATGGGAAAAAAAAATCTGCTTAGCAGCAATAAAATTATTTTGCATAGTCACCTGGTCTAACCTGACATAAATTCAGCTGTTTTCTAATTACGCCTTTTATTCCTCTAAAGATATTAATTCCACTTTCACTTTCCTAGGCCTTTGATCACATTCTTTCTGCGATAGAAGACATTTCTGGACAAATAGGACATAATTATCTGAGAGACAAGTAAGTAGTAACTAACTTGTTATGTTGAAATATTGCTAGAAAATCTTATCTGTAAATTACGACTTTTTAAGCCTCTGAGTTTAGAGACAAGAAGGATAGCAAATGTAGTTGAGAAGGTTGTATGCTAAAAATGCTGGAAATATAGCAAATGTGAAAGTGGGGGAAAGGGTTGTCCCCTACAACTGGACTCTTTTCCTTTTTTCCCCCACAGTTAAGATTAGGCCTTTGCAAATGCCTCAGTTCACATCCAGGGATCAGTTACTCTCAGGATTTGAGAACTGGTAATTTGCACAAGATTTTAACTAAAATGTCAGTGTTGGGCCTTCTCTGTAGTACTCCATTTCATGAACATTATTTGTGTGTGGAGACACTAAAAAACAACAGCTAAAACTGTCCCAGTTGTTTGTTCTATTTCTACAAATAATGTGTTCAATGCTTCTGAAAGTGATGGCTGAGGGTGCTTGGAAATTACTCTAATAGTTTAAGCCTATTAGTTTGAAACCAACAATGAAAATTACAGGTCATTTCTACCTTCCTCTGTTTATAGCTGATTCCTCTTGAGATAAGCAAAATTACTCAGCTGAAAGATACAGGCACCATTTTCTTTAAATTACACATGAAGAGTTACCACTGTGATGGGCAGACTTCCGTAACCTAGATGAACAAATGTGAAAGAAAGACATTAGTCCTGGACATCTTTAAGAGTGTTAAGGTTAGGCAATTCTCTGCCTGAAGTTAGGTCATTACATAGGTATAGACAGTCACAGTTCTGACCTGCTAATGTCCTGATGACTCAACATGTCCATTCCAATCCAAAACCCATGTGGTTCTGCAGAGCACCGTGCTAGCCCTTCCTGAGAAGCCTGAATATAGCTTAGGCATTATGTCTGCACAACTATAAAACTCCTAGGCTGGATCTAGATTGTACCTGAGCTCAAGCAGAATTTCTCACCAGTTATAGGAACAATCTCCTTCCTTTCCTTTTGCTCTTTGCTCATTTATGCATCAAAGAATTTTCATGAGTTATCCCAAATAGATCATCCCCTTTCTTTTGCTCTGGATTTTTAGTTCAATTTTTGGGAATTAATTTCAGCAGGCAGGAATACATCCCCAGATTTGAAATAATGTCATGAAGATGGAGCTAAATATTTTTAAAATGACATATTTTTTATTTTTAATATCTTTTTAAAATGGCTTCTTAAATGTCAGAAAGTAATGTCCCTGAGTAACAAGAGGAGTAGCTTAATGTGGATCCGTGGTTGAGTGTGTGCTTTGATGACTAATATATTCTGAATGAGACCACCTTAAATCTGCTTCTTTTGGACTGTATGTACATGAAAGTGATGCTTCCTCAAAGAAACAACAGTCTCTAGCATCTCAGTGATGTGCTTAGGTGTGGCAACTTGAATTAGAGATTGCTTGTCAGATATTCTCCCTAAAGAAGAGGAATAGTTATCAAATCAGTGAATAATATCTAACAACAAAAAGGTTTCAACAATCTAAATAAGAAGCTATAAACTCAAAAATAGCCATTGGGCAAGGTAGGTAGAATCACTGAATAGTAGTCTTAAAAGCTGCCTCATTGCCCTTTAGAGAAAATCTCGAGGAAGGCCAATGAAAGTAAAGCAGCCTTTATCTTCTGGAGCCTAAAGATGAACTGGCAGATATCCTGCTATCAGACAAGCTTGGAAGTGTAAATAACAAAATACACACCATTTCTATCCCCCAGAGTACATCAATGGCATGAATAAAGCACTTTTGGGTTGTGCTTTTGGAAGGACAACAATTTTCTGCACTGGCTGTTCTGCAGTACAGCTGGGGAAAAGCAGATTCCCTTCCAAAAGAGGAAAGAAAATTAAAATTTTAGAATGAAGCTATTAGATACAACTGCATAACCAGAAGTGGAAAAATGAGGTAGCATAATCTCCCAAAGTATAAAATGTTCTAGTGACTCTGAAATAGGATATTGTAATAATAGCACTCTTGCTGTTGTAGTAGTGTTTGGTAAGTGAAGCTATCAAAAGCTTTGTGACAGCTGCATAACTCTGTAGCAGGCTTTTCCTTAACTTTCTTTAAATGCTAAAGGGAAAGACTCAAAACACAAATCCCTCATATTGCTATGTTCACCATTTTTAAAAAAAATGCTTAGCTCAAAAAAAGTATCATTTATGTTAAACTGAAAATTATGTGAAACTAAAATTGCTTGTTGCCATTAACACAGTTCGTTTAAATCATCAGGTGGTCCAATTTTGATAGGAAATTCCTCAGTAAAGTACTGATGAGAAGGTCTGCTCAAAAATCAAGAGACCAGATCCTTAATGTTTTCCATGAGCTCAACTTGAAGGATGCAATTAGCTATGTGGCTGAGGTACTCATGAACACTTGTTGACATGTTATAGCATCATTTGGCTTTGTGTTTTTGTGGAGTTTCTTGGGTTTGTGGGGGATTTTTTTGTTTAGGATTTTTTTTTGGGGGGGGGCAGTTATTTATAATACAAAGTTGATATATTACAGGAGATGTCTAAAAGAAAACTATTTTCATTTCTGCTTTGCTTTCTATTCCTAAATGTGTTATGAGTCCCAATATCACCTGTTTCAGTGGCTGCAGTTCTCAGTATTATGCCTGATCCCCAAGAATGAGTATATTGTACTTATTATCGTACTTATGTCAGTGTAATTTTCTGTTGGGTTTTACTGATGAACTTTGTTTCTAGATTTATTGCCTTTAAAAAATACTGTAATTCCAAAAGGATCAGGCAAACTACTGTCTGTCTAAATGTGTCAACAGCTTGGCTCCTGCTGAATAGTGGCTCTATGTTGTTGACAAACCTGAATTGAAGAAGCTTACTTCCAAGTGGTGTGGATATATGACCAATGTAGTGGATTGCTATAATCCCTTTCTGCCAGATCACAGTAACACACACCAAAAAAAGAATTGGGAAGGGTAATTTTAATTCAACGAAATCATAATACCCACAGTTCAAAAATTAGGGTTAAAGTTAAGTACTACAGATATCAAACACAATCACAAAATTGTGAAGTTAGAGAAACTAAAGGCATGTTACAGGAGACATTTTAAAAGTTACAGAAGAGAAGAAAATTACTGGTCTTTGCAGGAATACTATTCCCAGACTGGAGCAATGTTAACAGGTTGTGTAAGAATTCCTAATCTTTCTCAGTGTGAAACTGACCACTTTAGTTCAAATAACCACAAATATGCAGTATTCATACAGTGTAGAGGATAGTTTTAAGAAGAGTATTTTAAACAATAATCTTTGAGGTGATCATCTATCTATGCCCATAACCTCCAACTGAACTCAGAGTCAGGTGAAATATCAGTTAACTTCTTTAATTAAAATAAACACTATCATTGTGACAGAATCTGCTACTAATACTAGTTTCTTTTTAAAAAAAGTTGAGCTACAGCCAGGCAGACTTCTGTGAAACATGGAATTTCAAAAGTCAAATTCAGAAAATAAGATTAAATTCATAAATTATATTAGTGTGAAAAATGGGGAATAGTTCACAAGTAAATACTTCCTTTTGAGATTTTGTAAATTGCCCCTTCAGTTTTCATACCATTTGAGCTTAAGGACTAATTTTCTTTCTTGTGGTGCTTTCTGGGTCACACTTTAGAGGAAGAAAGTTAGATAATGACTTTGATGTTGATGAGCATGGGGTTTATATTCTGATTCACAGCTGAATCTGTTTAGAACCTGCTTCTTAATGTCATTGACCTGATCCAACACACAATACTGTAACATGTACGTGGGCTATTACAGTAAAAGGAAACACTTTTTTTTACGTGAATGTAAACACGTAAAGGGAACACAATACAGTTAAAGTTGGAGAAATGTAGATAAACTCCCAATATTCTGCAAGGGAATTGTTTCTTCTTGGTATATTCTTCATTACAGTTTAGAATGTAGAGACCTGTTATGTGATCTCTCTCTCCTGTTACGCAAAACCATAGATGGGTTCAACCTATGTAACCACAATGTCACTCAACAGCTGCCTTTCACCTAAACAAGGTATTATACAAGCAGTAGGGAAAACTGTGAAAACGTAAATCTGATCTTTTTCAGCAATTCAATTCTGACATATGTTTCAGAACTGAAAACAAATCTCTTCAGTATCTCATCTCCTCATTCCATAACCTCTTTCCAATAGTCTTGTAGACATCTACCTCCACTTAAACTTTGTTGCTTCCAGCCTTGTAAAGAACAGAAAACTTGGTATTTTATCTTTTAAAATGGTACTGCTAATGAAGAGATGTGTTGAGTCGTAAAAATCTGCATAGATATCCCTATGTACTTAGTTTGCAATGTGGTACGAAGTAAAAGGTCCATCCCTGAAAGAGTCTGTGAAGAGGAAAGAGACTGCAAAAGTGCAAGGATATAATTTGTAAACAGATTGAAGCCTAAGAAATCATTCACATCTTCAGAATCAATTTACAGGAGTGGAATAGTTTTCTCTTTGCTTTGCTCATTACCACAACATCACTTAATGTAAAGCAACCACACCACCAAAAACTGGTTTGTATTCGTTAACCAAACACAATTCCTCCCCTGCTTCTTGTGCTATTTGCATACAGCAGCCTCAAATTATGTACCTTTTCTCATACATATTTTGCCCTAAGTGTTTACAGCTTTCTTTCTGTGGCCAGGGAGAACGCAGAGGTTCCTTGGCATTTATACGCTCTCCAAGTACAGACAACATGGTGAATGTGGATTTCAACACCCCACGTCCAAGTACTGTGGAAAGCTCTGTCTCTTATTTACTGTAAGTAATAAGGACCAATTGGGTGGGAAGGTTGGGGTTGGGGAGGGTGGGGGGAGGTGTGTTATAGATGAGGAAATGGAAACAGTGTTATAAATCTTGAAAAACACATATTACAGAGGCTTCATTCCCTACTTTTTTGACCTTCAATTAATTTTTCCTCCCACATAAAATGGATATTCATGCAGTTATATTGTTGTATTTCACACAAATTTTTTTGCAGCAAAGCATGGTAAGATGTGGCAGACATCCACATTAGAATTGTTTCATGTGCCTTTTGTTCACCAACTGCTAAAGGCAAGCCTAGATGTAATTTCTGTGTCTCCTACAGAAAAAGTCCGGGGAGAGGCAAGAAAAAACCCTTGCTCTTTCCTTAACTCTTTCATGATTCTGTCACCAAACAGACTATGTGTCATGTAAACTGAGAAATTAATGCTACACCCACCCGAAAATGAAAAATTACAATCTTTTCACATTTCCCTTCATTTATTTGCTCACTCATTTTTATTTAGCTGATTTTGACCTTTCCTTTTTTCTTCTTTTCCTTTTCATCCCCATTTCTCCCTCTCATTCCACATTTTCCTGTTTTTATTTCCTCTTCAGCAATTACTGATTTTTAAAACTGCTGTCCCTATATTGTATTTCTCTTCAGGAGAGAAAAAGCTGGACCAGTGTGCCTTGACATGCAAGCTTTAGAGCAGAGGAGAAAAAGTATCCGGGACACAGAAGACACAGTTGCTCATCACACTCTACAACAGTATCTGTATAAACCTAGGCAGGAGGTGAGAGCAGATTGGACTGTTTTCCAATCTAAAACAGGAGACATTAGGAATCAAAACTTGGGAGTGAAAGTCAAAAGGAAAGAACCCATCTGTAAAATCTGCACCTTTGAGGAAGATAGGCTTTTTGTCTATATTCTTTCTCATTTATGAACATGCCTCTTGAACTGTATCCTTGATTTCACTGGGGCCAGTGGAATGCAGAACTGGATCCAACACAGGTTCTGAAGCACGATTAAATGGAGTGTATCAATTGAAGTGATTCAGGCACTTATAGGGAGAGGCTTACTTTGAATGACAGTTGCTCTTACATATTTAAAATTATTGGATTTATACCTCTTTCATGGTAAAGAAAGAAAAATAAGTGTTTCACTAATGCTCTCAGACTAGTCTTTGGTTCATCCTTTTTATGGAGTTGTTTATATTTGCATGACACTGATTAAATGCACTGATTCAGAGCTTCCAGTTGTATTTTTAAATAAATTCATTGTCTTTCCTTCCTGGCCACAGCATAAACACCTGTACAGTCGACATGAGATCATGCACAGTGAAGATGAGAAACAAGACAAGGAGATTTTCCATAGGACAATGAGGAAGCGCTTAGAATCTTTCAAGAGTACCAAACTAGGAATAAACCATCCCAAGAAGCTCAATAAAATTCACAAGCGAGACCGAGGACAAAAAAGGGTAAAATACCTTCATAAGGACCCAGATGTAGGCATGGAATAGGAAGGGAGCACTCTGAATGGTCTTATGTCCTGCATTTATCTCTGTCCTATATAACTTCATGAACTTAAAGGGCCTAAGCAAGAAGAGATTAAACTATGAAATAACTCTAGGTGCATCTTCTCACATGCTGCTCTTCTCTGTGCTTTACAACACTTCCGGGTGAGAGATTTTGGATCATTTGAAAAACAACAGACCTTGAGCCACACTACAACACTGTGGGGAGATGTTGCAGGGTAGCAACATCTAGTACTAAGCTATAGTAGCACTATAGTATTGAGTATTTCACAAAATTTGCAGGAAACTAAGAGGTAACATACAGCATACGAAGAGCCAAAGTTCCTTTCTTTTCCTGTAGTGAGTACAAGTGTTGGGGAGAAACTAATGATATCCGTATTGAATCTCAAGCAAATATTACAACACATTTCAGCATTATGATGCTGAACTCATAATTTCAAAGGATTCCACATTCACATACCATTGCTATCTCATGATGGTAGCATTTTTGGTAACTTTTTTTGTTTTCTTTCAGCGAAACAGCAGTGTCATACCAAATGGAAAAATACCTTCAGAAAATCCAGTACAAGATTTTACTTTGAAGGAAAAAGGTAAAAAGACTCAGACCGGTTTCATTAAGTGCATTTTACCAGCTACCTTGTCAATGAAATGTCACTGAAAATTCTTATTACATGCAACAATGAAGCTGGCATTAAAAAGACTTCTAACCATAACTTAGACCTAAGAGTGGGGATCTGCCCCATGCTTAAATGCAGTGTCTTGACAATATAGAAGTTGTTTTTTTAAGTAGCTTGATGACAAATCAAGTTTTAATTGGCCTTTTAACTCATATTAAAAATATCACATTTCAATTTTGAAAACAAAAATATTGCAGTAGTTATACAAAAATATGTATCACTTAAAACTGAAATGTGGTCTAAAAGCCGCTGAACTCTTACTGTGTTCTTTCTTCTGTTTCTGCATGCAACCCCTTAGCTCAAAGAAAATTGAAGTAGAGAGGGATTCATCTTTTCTTAATGCTCCAAGCAAAGACATTTTTCTTTATTATGTACTTTGAATCATTTTCTGAGCATTATTTTTCTTTGACTGGCAGAGGCAGTACAGGCTGGCTGAGTAAGTGTAATAACCTAGAACCTTTTTGCATGGGAACAGCTACCTATAAGTAGGTCATTCAACGCTGTCTTGTTAAAGAACACTGTATATAGGTTTCACCCCCTACTTAAAAAAAAAAAAAAGCTTCATTGAAAGACAGTCTTAACAAGTTGTTTCATAGCTGTTGTAAAACTGATTCTTACTTCTACTGCAGTAGAAGTAGTACTGATGTCACCAGGTTTGAAATCAGTCAGGATACTAATGCTGGCCTCTTTCAACTGATGAAAATGTAGTGACTGGTCATTGTAACAGAATGACATTTGTCAGCATCATTTAAGCATGAGCGTTTAAGACACAAAGCATAGTAGAAGTGGGGCCATGCCATAGATTGATTTGTTTCAGTCCCAGGAAAGCAGACAATTCTGTAGGCCAAAAGCTTAACCAGCATGTGAAATCTCCCTATCATAGCACCAGGTAATAACACAAGCCAGAAACCTGTGTTGAGTTTCATGGTGTAATTGGTATCCGTGTTGCAAACTCTACATATATTCACATTCCCATTTAAGTGCTATGACTGTTGATTAATCTTTACCTTTATCTAGATCCTTGTTAAGATAAATTTTTGATAACGATGTCAGCAACAAAACAGCATAATAACTATGATAACTGATACAGATCTCTAATCAAACTGGACTTTATTCTTTTTCCAGATTTGGAGTTTTCTGAATCAGAAGAAAATGATTATGAAACTTTGCATCTAGGCAAAGGAGTTGACTTCCTGGCTAATGTGACACAGCAAAATTTCACAGACGCTCCTACTGGTAAAAATATTAATTATCTACAAAGTTGGGGTTTCTTCTCTCCATTGTGAAAAAAGAAATACTAGAAATGCTGCCAATTTATTTGTAAATGTTGTTTGGATTTGTTGTGTTCTATTAGAAAATATATTTGCTTAATGTTAACAGATAACAAGTTTTGGATATTCGGAGGTATGGAGTGCATCAAATTTGCTAGTGATAGAAGTTGTGAGCATGCCTACCTAAACCTGTCCTACACCCACTAATTATTTCTAGCAACAGAAATGTTATTTTAGAGTTGTCCTACTTCATAAGACCAGTCAATACTAGTCTTTTGGAATGGTTTTCTACTTGCACTTTGTTGTGATAAACTTCATGCTTTTTCTTTCAGGCCATATTTCTCCTCTTAAATTCACAGCTCCTTCACTTCCTTGCAGGCTCACAGAAGTCACTTGAAAAGTGCAGATTTGCGGTATTCCTGGAGCATTCATTGGACTTGATTTCCAGCCCTTAAAAGCTCCAAAATATCAGACAGTGTATTACTGTATATAACAGAAATTACATGTTTTATAAAGTTTTAAGATTTATTATTTCTCTTTAGCACTTTTGTGTTTGAATTTCCAGCATGCCACTACATACTTCATTTGTAACATGGCGCATATGGGGAAGAAAAATACTTGTGTCCGTAGTTTTTTGGTAGATACACTGTTTGGTAGATATCACTGTTCCACGACAAATTCTATGTTGGAGAATGTATAAAGACATCCAGAAATCAATCCAGAAATAAGTGGCTGACAAGACACAGACCTAGACTAATTTTTAAAATTTCTTTTTCTGTTCAAACACTAGAAACTTAATATCTATATTACAAGGCCCTTGTAACTTACTTGTGACTGTTATGTGGCCTGCTTGAGCTCTCTCACACACATCTGAGTCCTTTTATGGAGTTGTGCAGTTTATGCTTTTGCATTTTATTTTTTTTATCCCTTTTTTTTTTTTATGGCTTTGATTTGAATTTTCTGCAGATATTTTTTATTGTGCTTTATTTTGCTTAAAATTTGCAGACTGATTTCTTCTTTTATTGATTTTATTTTTTGTCTCCAGTTATCCCAAACATAACTGCATATTGGATATAATATCCAGATTTTCTCTTTAATAGAAGTCCAATATTACTAGTAATAACCAAGGTAAAAAGGGCAACCTGTGCATGTATAATGGTCTGTCACACCTATACTGGCATGTATCGATCTATTTTTTCCCCCATTACAGCTATTCTTTTACAAAGCATCTTGCTGTGTATTACCAAGAAATCATTTTCATTAACTGTATTTGTCACTCATGAACTTTTTTTTAGGAATTGATAACCCAGTATTTTCAGCTGATGATGACCAAAGCATCTACATGAAGTTCTCACCATGGTTATCTAGTGAAGACACAGTGGTACCATCACAAAGGGCCCGAGTGCAGATCCCATATTCTCCAAACAACTTCAGACGGCTCACACCATTCCGGCTCAGCAATAAATCAATAGATTCCTTCCTGCAAGCAGATGGACCAGAGGACCGACCCAGATCTTTTCTCCCAGAATCAACACATATGTAATATTATAAAAGATATTATCACTTTTGTTTTTAATCAGCCTTCTTAGCAAACCTAATTACTGACAAGTAAACTTACTTTTCTGAATTTTCTCCCCACAGAGCACCTCTTTCCTTTCTGATTTCTTCAGACAACTAAATTTCTTCAGACAACTAAATTTCTTCAGACAACTAAATATCTTCTATTTTCCTCCAGCCTGAATAACAAAACATCTTTCATTTTCTTTCTGCAGATCTGTCAGACTATTTGGGCCTTGCTGTTTTTATAAGGGTCCTGCTCTTCGTTTTGGCTTAAATGCCAAGAAAATAGCAATCCAAAGATCAGAATATTGTGCAGTCATTTTCAAGAGGTTTCAGGTTTCTGGATTAGTGAGCTCTAAATGACAAAATTTGTACCTAGATTCCCTCACAGAAATCAGGTACTCTTTAAAGGGTGATCAGTCTTTTTGAGTAACATTATCACTACTGTCTGCAAATGTCAGCACAGTAGTCTGAAGCCCCAGAAAGACAATACAGTTGCTGATGCCAAAGGATATGGTTTGCCCATAAGAAGTCAGATGAGTCATTTAACCATTGGACTCTATTGCATTTGGTTGTACAATAGGAGCAGCAGGGGCTGGGCTAAGTTTTGCATTCTTACCATTATTAGAATACCATTTTGACTCTATTGCTAAGAAGCCTAGAGGCAGTTCTGAACATTTGTCCTGGTTATTTAGCCAGTGCTCAGGAAGGCAAAATCGTCCCACTGCTACAAAACAGGTATTTCATGACAGTGCTGTTGTCATCATTAGAATACATAAAAAAGAGTTTAAAAATTAAGCATGTTTACTAGAATGTTTCAGAGTTCCCTTGCACAGGTAGAGATAATGACACAACAGCCATACTGTGGGGAAGCAGAATTCTATTTTTGGTTAAAGCTTTATTGTTAAACTGTAGATTTACCTTAATCCATACCCTATTTTGAAACCAGACAAATGGTTAGCTTTCTGATGCAGTAAATAACTTATTGCTTCCAATATATTAGAGGCTTAAAATTAAATTGACTCTGAGTTTAAATGAATATCCTAGTTGCCCTTGAATTCTTGCTCTATGGCAATTTTTCACACCATAAAAAGCAGCCTCCACTTCTGTAATCAAAACAGTCAGTGCTGTAAATTAGGTGGGTCAGGCCACAGTTCAAACATTGTAATTGAATAGAACATAGGGCACTGAGGGGATTATGCAGTGAGATGCAACAGTCAGTTTCCTCATTAATTTGCTTTTGTGGAATCCATGACCACAAATGTGTAATCTAGTGTCCTTTATGCATCAACAAATAAAGGAATGTGGTAAGTTGAAGCTACTTCTGTAGTTAATTGATGAAAGTTTGTTCAGACAAAGACCTCAGGATTAAGAGTGAATGTTGGTAATTTTTATTAGAGAAGAGCTTCATAACCTTTTGAAAAGAAATAGAAAAACGTTTTTCTTCTGTTCTGGCACCTGTCCCTGCAAGAAGATGTGCTCATTCAAGTGTAATTACAAAAATCATGTTGCTTTCTTTACTGGAGGAACCTCTAAGTCTGTGGTTGCTTCTACTGTTCAGTTTCTTATTAATGCATCTTTGTTTATTTTTTAAATGATGTTTTAAAATGAACACTGGATTAATTAAAGAACTATGAATTAAATTCCAACATCCTGATCAACAACTTGAACAATGACCGGCATTTCGAAAGGAAAACTTCTCCTTGACACTTATACACATTGAAATTCTCTTCACTCTTTTTCCCCACTGAGAACATTGTCATAAAATATTGTTATATGACTTGCTGAACATTTTCTTGCTAACTTTTGTTCTTTTCCTCTATTCTAGTGCCTTATATATAATTGACTTTATTATTAGGAAACAGTATATGTAAGGTCTTGTGCAGGTATCTTTGATATATGAAAATCACTGGGGTTTGACTGCTTTGTTTCCTAAGAAGTATTTTGGGAAGTTAGATTTCCCAAGCTAATAAGCTTAGAGCTTGAATACTCTCTGAAACAGTCCTCTGAATTATCTCCTTAATAAAATTCTCCTAACAGGAGAATGACACTGCAATTCCAATTAAAAGGTTTTGAAAAACAACATAAGCTGGAAGCCAAGGGTGGAAATCTGAAGTTTCTCCACAGAAAAATGTATCGTAGGTTCTGGTCAGTAAGGAACTGACTCCCTGGTGATACACTCAGCTACTTGATCGAAAGAGCATCACTTTTTAAGTTTCTGAAATATTTCCTTGCTGAGCATCAGGACCCTAATGACCAGATGATGGCTCCATGCCCCAGATGTCTGAAACAGGCAGTTGTTCATCACAAACACTGAAGTTTCGCCTGATACTTTGCAAGGATAAGAAGTTTAATAAACTCACTTCAAGTTGTCAAAGGTAGAAATTGGAACAGGGTACAGTACCCCAAGGGGAAAAAAAAAAAAGGAAAAAAGAAAATAGAAATAAACCACCGACTTTCATAAGACTTTCATAAAAAAAGCCAAAAGCAAAGCAAAACTAGTCAGCATCTTAGAAATAGAAAGTGTGTATTACAAATGTTTCTATTTAATTGTGTTCTCTAGGTGATATCAACCATGATGTTGAAATGACAGAATACTCCTCTTCAGATGATCAACTAAACCAAACTGAAGGTGTTTCAGTGAATCCCCTCCACTTCTTCCCATCATGTCTTGAGATGCCTTGGACACAAAACTATTCTTCACTGGAAAACAGAGGGAATGTATCTCTTTCTACTGTCTCTGAATATATAGCTTCTTGTGACCCAAATGTACCTGATCTCTTCTGGGAATCGGGTGCAGATACAAATAACAAAGAGACAGTAAATTCAGGTTATTGTTCTGAAGTTAACTACAAATCACAGAATTCACAAGAAGATAATTCCTTACTTATATTTGAAGGGCTGGAAGACTCTTATGTGAAGGAGCCCCAAGAGAAGAAATTGTTGCTTGACACACAAGGAAACTACAGATCTGTTGCCAGACGTGTACAAAGCCGACGTTCTTTTCACAGGCCAAAACCTCTGCAACACCCTAAGCTTCAGAAGCTAGCATCTCTTCCAGCATCTTGCCATGTCCCTCCACATTCTTTGGAACAAGAAGAAACACAGTTGTGAGACAACTTTCTCATTGAAGGGAGAAGATGAGACAGAATAACTTAAACAAGGGCTTCTATAAAAATAGAAAGCAACCTATTGGTTCATGAAGTCTGCTCTAGAACGGTTTCAGATGGAAAGGGAGTCCTATGATGTCAGAAACACTGGAGCTTTTGCGCTGCACTTACATTTTTAAGTTCTCATTCGTAATGAAGGGAAACATGCCTCCTTGTTATTTTGTTCATGTAGACTGTTACAAAAGATCAATATTATTTTTGGAAGGCTAAATCACGAATCTTTTCAAATGGTAAATCCTTGGGTTTTTACATGGAAATGGTTTCTTATGCCATTATGCCATAAATGCATTTAAAGAAATAGGCTACATTTGATGCTTCAGTAATGGAAGTAAATATTTATGATGTATGAAATCAATGTAGGAGAAGCCAATGGTTAGCCTCTTGCCTGCTTTTAAACGATGTTTTAAAGTCTACTGTGATTGAAATGGATCAGTGCCTTTTATAAGTGCAAGCTAAAGAAAAATATTTTCATGCTCTTGAACATTTGTGTCACTGAGTAACTGTGGGATAGTGACTCTGGTGGAAAATTTCCCAGGGAGAGGAAAGTCCTGGCATCTTGAAATTTAATCAAGGGCTCCAGGAAGGCTATTTCCTTCCTTCACCTTCATTTCCTCTACTCAGTAGCACTGGAATGTAAGAACGTCCAGAATTAGCTAAGACTTTTAATTTGTGTGCTCACAGGCAACACATTTCATATTCTTAATTATGCTGCTGTGTTTTAAATAGCCTCACTCAGACAGAATGTAAATATTTGTCATTTTTACTGCTGCTTTGGAAGACAGCTTCCAAATACTCTTTTGGATTTTATTGTTAATTTATGTATCATTTTCAATAGCTGATCAGGATAATGGTCTCTCAGATCCTATCCTGTGTTTTGCCACATGGTTTAAGTGCCACAGTGACTCAGGATGTTGATGGTACAGAGGTAGTTTGGCTACTGTGTATATATATATATCTCTATATATATATATCTGTTTGTGTTAGGAAATTATTTTTTGTCCCAAATTTTCTGTTAAATGATATTAATTAAAATTGCACTAGACATCTATTGTGTATAGATTTGGTCTGCATCACCTTGAAGACAGCGGAGACATCAGTGAAAGCCAACTCAGATGAAGACTAAAGAAAAGTGAAAACTAAGACATCTCATGGATGTATAATACTACATAACAGTGTATACTCCATGGGCATATCTGTATTTTGCCTTGGATAATTTCAGTCCTGAATTTTTTGGCTTGAAGTCTTCTGCGGTATTAAGTTGCAAAGATTCAGTGACATGAATAGAAGATGAGTGCTTAGCTGCTTCTGTGATCCTAATGTGCACCTTATTTCTATTTGACATCAGTGTAAACCATTGGTAAATGAACTGAGTCACCTTCAGGGAATCTAAATTGCTCAAGACAGAGGCTTTATCTGGTAAATTTTACTTTATCATAGGAATCAGTGGTTGTTTCACTTTACCTACCCAGATTTTGAACAGTTTTTAAGTGATTCTGTGTCAGATTTACCCAGACACCCAGAAAGAGTGAAGCAATGTGTGAAAATTCATGCCCACATCTTTTTTCTATCTTTGTCCTCTTTGCTAAAATTGTGTGTTAGGCTAGTGCAAATTGCAGATATGTGATGGAAAATGCCATGTACAAATCTAAGTAGATACATAACATATGCCTTTAGAGACTAAATTCAGAGTCCTGGTTCTTTTGCTATCAACACACAAGCAGCTGTCTGTTTGCAGGCAAATCAGTGCCAAATCAGTGTTCCTAATTGGAAAGCTTCATCGCACAGTTCTAGTCTTGTTAATGAGGGTCATAAGACATAAGGCTGTCACCAGTAGGGATGCTAATTTTGCAAATAAATAACGTAAATACAATTTTTGTGAACTGAGTACCTATGAATATACTGTTTTGGTGAAGTAGACAATATTAATGCTGTTCCAGATACTATAATTGGAACAAGTATTTCAGTCACTGGCATAGATATATAACAGGACCATGACTGATCCCACTTACTAGCACAGGTGAAGTGCAATGTGCCAAAATCTGACCTCCAGTCTCATAGCAAAATGCTGAAGCACCAACACCAAAGTTGGCAAGATGCTCATCAGGTATAGGCTTTGAAATAAAAGTTTAATCTCTTATTGCTGCTGTACAGAGGTCATTGCTGTGTTGCAGTTAGAAGAACCACACTGCAGACTGTGTTTTCTGCATGATTCTTGAAGCATTCCTAATCTATTTGTGTACAGGCTACCTCAAGAAAACATTTGTAAGTCATCATTATCAGCTAGGAATTTTCACCAGACAAGTGTTGTGCACACACACGAGAGTGAGCAATTTTGAAAATCACAGGATATAAGATTTTAATGTTCTTGTATGTTTTTATGCTAAACAAAAGAGGATCAATGGATAGGACAGTATTTACAAATACAGCAGTCTGTGAAAAGTCAGCAGGATTCTGTATGATTTTGAGAGGGCTTTGGACTGTAGGCGTTTCACAAAACAGAGAAACATGCCATTTTTAGCAATGCAGGAAATGGAAAGACACTATATACAAAGCGCTTAACTCTTCATTTACTTTCAAAGGCCTTAGAAATTGTATGTTATGTCACAATAGTTGAACAGATGAAGGATAAAATGGGCAATTCTGATAGCAAAGAGACCTCTCCCTGGAATAGCTTCCATCATTTCTGAGGCTTGTATGCCACTGGAAGATTTTTCCTAGTATAATTGTCTCTACAGCAAGGTTTTGTTTGGCATAGATTCTCAAATTGAAATGTAATAAAAAAAAAGAAAAGCCTCATGTCCCCATTTTCTATATTGAGAATATACTCCTAGCTTGAATACAGGGGATTATAATTCCTTTTTTTTTTTTCCCAAGGCAATTGCTCCCAGTGTCTACCAAGTATATACGAAAACCAGGTTATAAGAGTTCATCATGTCTCTGACCTTTTTTTTCTATACACTTTCTATATACTTTCACATACCAGTACATGTCCTGTGAGTGCAAGTCTTTGGTTGCTTCTTTCCACTTCAATCAGTCAAGCACCACTAATTTCCATCACTGCAACACAAATTTAGATCTACTGAGGATCTGGCTGTATGTATCAGCTTCCTTTTTACCATATGAATTAGACCAGAATGATCAGTTGGGAAATCAGTTCACCTCTGCTGAGGCCAGTTTGGTTCTTCGCTCCCTCGCCAAAAACTCTTTCTCTAAATATTTTTGTGACATGCTCTGTCAAAGAAAGGCAAGTTGGGAATTCCTAAGTGGCTATTTATTAAAAAAGTAACTATAGTCTACCTTCTTGTAAAAAGATTAAATATTTTATATCTCTTCTATACATTTAACTCCACGGATAAGATTCGTTTTGAAATGTTTATTATGCTGCACTATGGCCTAGCAATGTTAAAAGAAAGAAGTGTTACCTGCATTCAGATGAATTCTGAACTGTCTGAGCTGTGAAGCTAGTTATTGAAATATATGAAATTATGTTTTATAAATATATGGTCTAGCCAGAGATTTATGTAACAAATGTTGCAAAATAATCACGTGCCTTAAATTGTTACTCTTTGGAGTGCTGCTGTTTGCAGATTTTTGTGTGTACTTTCCAAAAGGTGTCAACTTACTGCATACATTTTTTAATAAGTCAATTTGTTCTGCTAATGTGTCTTTATAGAAATGTTTTAATAGTATATCATACTGAGAAGTTTGGCAATAAATTGTATCACTTTGTTGGAATCACACTGCTCTGGCAAGTGATTTAGAGAATCATTGATTTTTATTTAGTACATTTAGACAAGACTCTCCATCCAAGACTTCTGAGAAGTTTGTATTTCTGCTCCCAAATCAAAGTTAAAAAAAAAAGTGTACTGCTGATAACTTGTGTCATTTATAAAATGCAAATCATTAAAAGCAGCGACAGAAGTTGTAGAAGATCTCCTGAGTCTCTCTCTGAAAACTATAGTTCTATCCCCACTGCAGTCAGTGACAAAAGTCCTATTGACTCTATAAGCCAATAGTTCCATCCTTAAAACAGAAGGGTCCATATTTCATTGAAGTATATAAAAAGAGGTTGTCATTATAACACTATAATTTAAACTTTACATATATGATGATATAATTGAGGATATGATGATCTAATTATAATATTCTTTTGATGAAAAAAAACAAGAGATCATAAAATCTTAGAATGATTAGGGTTGGAAAGGACCTCAAGATCATCCAGTTCCAACCCCCCTGCCATGGGCAGGAACACCTCACACTAGACCAGGTTTTTCAAAGCCCCATCCAACCTGGCCTTGAAAACTTCCGGGGATGGAGCAGCCACAGCTTCCTTAGGCAGCCTGTTCCAGTGCCTCACCACTCTCACAGTAAAGAATTTCCTCCTTATATCTAACCTAAATCTCGTCTGCTTGAATGTGAACCCATTATCCATAACCCTTGTCCTATTGTTACAGTCCCTAATGAAGAGTCCCTCTCTGACAACCTTGTAAGCCCCCTTCAGATACTGCAAGCTTTCTCTTCTCCAGGCTGAACACATCCATTTTTTTCAGCCTTTGTATCAATTTTGCTTTACTGTGCTGTGTTTTTTGACGATATGGTAGTCACTAATGCCAGACAGCTTGACTTCCTACACAGAAACCAAGGAAACTTAATCCAAGCTGTTTTGTATCAGATGAATCAATTTTCCCTGAAAGCTCTGTGATCCCAGTAAAAATTACCATTTCCCATGACATCCTCCTGCTGTCATTCCATTTCTATACCTCGTATTGCTTTCTACAGTAGATAGGAGGCATGGGGTGAAGAAGTAAGTTCTAAAATTATTTCTAGAGTAGTGGAGTTGAATATTTATTGGAGTTAAGTAAACATTATTTTCTAAGTATGGATTTGAAAAGATTAAAATATACACAAGTGACTGAACCACATGCTAGCAAATAAGGTGCTACAATGGCAAAATTAGATAGAACTGGTTTTGTGGTACATCCATGCAATAACTAATTAGCTAATACATCATTAAATCAATCAGGGAGAAGTGTCATTCCTTAACACTTTTGTTGATACACAAAACATACAAAAGCCATGATTTTTCCAGTGGAAAAATTAAACTCTGAAATGAGCATTGAACGCTACTGGTAAGGATTCTGATAGGTCAGATTTAATGCTTCTTAGTTTAGCGAGCTAAGAGGTTCATCACACTGAAACACCCCAGCCTTTCGCAAATGATGTGCAAACACAACTGACACATAGAAGATGAGAGAATTCAGTTCTGTCCATTACTTAGAAACACAAATACAAAGTAGTGATCAGCACAGTAGACCCGTACAATGTAGAGTGAACAATCCAAGAGGTTTTAGGTAACACTCCATATGGACTTTAATATTTTAATCTTTAAAACCAGTGAAATTATAACTAAATTTCAAATCCCAACTGTGTTTTCAATTTTCTGAAACAGCGTTGGTGGACTGAGCACACCACAAAAAGCCTTTATAGTCTTTCCCCTTCACATCTGTTTCAGGCTCTCCTCACATGCTCAGGGGCATCCCAAAGCTTTGTACCTTTGCACTTTGTACCTCACAGATCTGGAGGTAGAGAAAGGCTCGGTGCTAGTTAATAGCAATTGCAGCAAAACCAAGATGTATGCCTATGGAGTTTACAACATTCTAACTCACTCTGAAATCCTAACCACAGCTGAGGTTCAAGTTTCCTAACCTATATTATACCCCACTATGCTCAACAGTTATGCATGAGCAGGCTTTCAGTGAATTTCATTTGATATTATTATGGATCTGAATGATCACCCCTGCCGCACAAAAAAAATAAGTTTTCTGATTGGTTAGGTATGTGATGTGCCACACAGGACCTGTACTTCCATCCACTACATATGAGTTGGATGGCATGCAATGCCTTTGCCAAGAACAGTCCAGAACATTGCTCTTGTTAGAGCTACTGTATTCTGTTATTTGCGAAACCTGATCCTTCTCATTTGTGTACAGTTAACATTTAATTCCTTGCTGTTCTGAAACATTGACGCATCCATCTTGAATCCTGAAAGTGGCAGTATTACACCCAACATGTAATTCAAAGAAAACAAATATGACTCTGTGTAACTGGGCTGTGAACTGTGGGGCTGTAGATGAGTGAACATTTTGCTGAGACTGCATAAGACAGAGAATCAAAGAAATACTGAAGAAGTTCAGTTGGAAGGGACTTCTGGAAGTCATCTAATCCAATCTCTGAGGAGCTAGCTCAGCTCTAACTAACTTGGAGCTAACTGACCCAAGTCAAATCAGGCTAGAATCTGGATAGCAGAATGGCAGGATAAACTTTTCATACACACACTTTCAGCTCTCAAGGCTATTTTCTCAACTCACCAGAAGAAAAAACCTACCTTCTGGCAGAAAGCCACCAGGGTATCCCCAAGAAAATATTTCAAGCACCTGTCATCCCTGGTGTCTAGAGGTTCATAGAGGACCCAGTACGGTAAGCTCGGGAAAGAGTGGG